AAAAAAAAAGCGAGCGGAAGATAATGAAGTGTTTGTATAAAGTTATCATTCGTTGATCAGAATTAATAATATTATTTGTTAATATATGAATATAAATAACTAGGTTGAAAGATAAGTTCCGTAGTTTCTTAGAACAATATGAGCTCCGGGAAAAGCATTTTAATAGCGTCGTTCGATCCAAAGATTTGGAATTGCAATTATATGAAGCAAAGTTACAACAACAAAAACAATTGACCGAACAAGAGACACTCAAAGTAAGTTATTTAAATTGATTCTTTTTTTGATATTAGTCTATCTAATACGATTAGTTCATCCAATTCGTTTAATTATAGGTTAATTCTTTGAAAAGCCAAGTGGAAACATTTACTAAAACTGAGATTGAGTTACGTAAACAACTCAACATTTATGTTGATAAATTTAAGCAAGTAGAGGAAACTTTAAATAAAAGTAATGAGCTTTTTATGACTTTTCGTAAAGAAATGGAACAGGTTTGTTTATTTTGTTTTACAATTATTTGCGATTAAAAGATATATTGATATTTCTCTTATAGGCGTTTGTTACACCAGATGACCAAAAAGACAAAGAAACTTGAAAAGGAAAATTCGGCTATAAAAGGAAAATGTGATACGATGAATAAAAATATTTTAGAAATGGCGGAAGAGGTATGCTTTCGTTTAAAACTTTCTCTCAAAAGGATAATAATACATAGGACATTAACTATTAGGATAATATTTATGTGCAAATATAATGTTTCATGAGATTCTATTTATTCTTTGCATATTTAACTTACATGCAAGGGGAGGTGCTAACAAAAAAAACAAAAAACGTTACGAACAAAATTTTGTCGTATTTGCTGTATGATAGCGAACTAGAGATCAAAAGACTATTGATGATGCAATGAAAAAACAAGCAAAATTAGAAAATCTGTGTAGAGCTTTACAGGTAATTCATTTGATATATTTTGTAAAATTTTTTTGTTAATTTATTTTAATTATATTTATTTTTTAGACTGAACGAACGGTTCTCGAGAAAAAACTGGAATCTTTAAAGTAGAGTTACGGCCCAACCCTTTTTTTTTTTTTTTTTTTTTTTTTTTGAATACATGGTTTGGGGTTTGGGAATCAGGATTTCTACTTCATCTGGGATAGTGAACAAAACCCACATTTTTAGTCAAGCGTCAAACTCAGAAACCAATCAAATTTGTTAAATCAGGCTATAAAATTGCTAAAAACTGAATTTCATTTTTAGATTAAGAGAATTAAATGATTTAACGACCAGGCAGGATATGTTGAATAAAAGTGATATGTTAAGTCTAATAATTATATCGAATATGCGATTAAGTGAAAACAAGTATAAAAGTAAAAAAGTTTCCTTGAAATATGGATGGAAATGCCATTAGTTTTTAGAAAAGTAAAACTCTAGTAAAGGTCGATACCTCAACAATTATATGGTTATCCATCTTCTATCGTTCATTAATCTGTGATGTGACAAGAATCCTAGATCAGAGTTATTGAAACTCTTCCGCAAGAATATTGAAACTAAAAAGGGAGTACTATTGCAATACTATGGTATTCTTAGTAAATTAACACAGAAATCTATGAAATGAAGGCTAACTATTAGAAACGAATATAAAATTGTCAATCAAATACTTTCATTATGATTATTATAGCAAGGGTATATCAGTACAATCGAACAAAATTAATTCTAATAATGTAAAATATGAGTGCCGGATATTTCACTTTCAGGAACAGACTTATTAAATTCTTATAAACCCATTTCTGAAAATGAAATTTCTGAGAATCAAAAATTTCAGGTTTTCACTTTCGGCACTCATAATATCTTTCAATTCCGACATTAATATGTGAGCCCATCTTACCAGATATGAGCATACATCAAAATTTTCGATGAGAACTTCTTAATATCGATATTGGCTAACCTGGTTAGAGCTTCGTATTCGTTATTCGAATAATATTCGTATTCGGCGAATATTCGAATAAATATTTATAATTCGAATAACATTTTATTCGAATAATTTTCATGTGAGACTTCAGTCATTGGCTGATTTACACATTAACGATATATGTTACTTGTTCGAATTCTGTTAGTCATTCGGCGAATATTCGAATAGATATTTGCCAATCTAGATTATTCGAATATTATTCGAATAAGGAATCCGTAAGCTCTAAACCTTATGGTTATTCCGAAAGGACCCAATACCGACAAAATTGGCCGGCATTAGTTATAAATCATAACCTGTAAGATGCCGAAAAAAGCAATATTTTTTAGATGAACATTTTTTGATTATGCCTCCAAAAATGAAAATGATAAGTATAATCGTGGAGAAGCAACTGGAACGGTAATACACTGTTTTTGTGAAAACGAAACGGATTGTTAAAAGGAAAATGGTCGAAAATTGGATGGAACTAGACAAACATTAAGATAATACCAGACATATGGGCTGCCTTCAATAGAAATCAAGCAGATTGGCATTTTAAAAAAAAATTAATCTCAACTTTCACAACTCATATCTTATATCTCGATAAATTTTGAGATTATCTTGATGAATTAATATTCAAAAGAAAGTCTAGATCTTGACTTTCTTTTGAATATTAATTCAAGATAACGTCAAAATTCATCGAAATATGAATCATAAAAGTTAAGGGATTAAATTTTTTTAAAATGTCAATCTGCTTGATTTCTATTGACGGCAGCTCATATGATCAATAGTATCTTTGACCAGTTTTCTTTTATTTATACCCTGGTTACTATATCAAGGTCGCAGGGTATAACTTGGATACTATGTGTATAAGCGGAAATGAAATTTCCGTTTATACCCAAATATCCAGATAACTATTACTTATCAAAACGGTCTTTACCAGTTTTACATATCCAAATATATTTATATAAATTCTTGATTGCAACGTTTTATCTTATCGAGGAATTTGGTTACATTGTTTCTTGTCAGTTATCTTTGCATGGAATACATGTTTTAAAATCATTGATTAAAAAAAAGAAGTGACATTGTATAAATTCTAATTATTATGCAATTACTAAATTGAAAAAATTAATAAATTTTATAACAGACAAGTGTTACTTATGATTTACGGTGCTTATAGATTTTCATTAATCTAATTTTTTTAGAAAAAATGGATCGAATCATTATATCTTGTTTTAACTTGTTCTTAAGATCAAATGAACACCGCTATCACTCCAAACTGGTTCACTCAATTCTCCAACTTTAAGGCTAAATGCGGCTTCTTCAAAAGCAGGTTGCATTTGTCCTCGACTAAAAAATCCTAGATCACCATTACGTTTAGCACTTGAACAATCAGATTCTGTACTAGCAAGTTCATCAAGAGTGATTTCTCCAGATTTGATTCTAGTTTGATAGATTTTAATTAATTCAAGCGCCTCTTCTTTCGTACGTTTTATTGTCGGCTAAGGGAAAAAAACACATATATATGTGCATATACATATAGGTAAATATCTATTTAAATGACTTGACTGTGTATAATCAAGTATACTAACCTCTTTCCAAGAACTAGGACGTCTACTTCCTTCATATTTGACCAACAAGTGGCTAGCTCTAATTTGTTCTGTACCACTTGAAGGATCAACAGCTTGTGCTCGTTCTACTTTCTCTTCATAACCTTTAATAGTGTTAGGATCAACTCCAGCGGGAAGTTCCCAGGTACTTTCTTTAGTAGCGCGGTTATAATAATAAACCATCTTACGGGAACGGGACATTCGGCATTCCCATTCAGAGCTGATATCTTGAGGCTCGCTCTAAATAAATAAAACAAAAACTATATAGTTAGAATCCTTATTGCGTCGAAATCTTGAATATCTATTTGGAGTGGTTCACAACTTTTGAAGGGCAGAAAGTTCACCATGATTTTAACTTTCTAAGTTCTGTAGTAGAGTAAATTGTGCAAACATAAGAATTATAATATTAACTGTCAGAATTAAAGCCACGACTAAATTTATGAATTGATGCTACATTCCCTACATATATACACGTACGTACTATACATATATATATCTTAACACGAGCACGTCCGTTTTTGGTTAATTAGTTTCGATTTAGACGATTACGTTTAGCTTTTATTACAAAAATGATATATACTGTAAATAGAAATAATGGAAATCCAGAATCTTGTCTATTTACACGACAGTTAGCGAATTAATCATATCGATATGGGCTGCTGCTGTCAATAGAAATAAGGCAGATTGACATTTTAAAAAAATATTGATACGTACCTTAATTTTCACAGCTCGATGAATTTTGAAGCTATCTGATGATTTAATAGTCAAATGAGAGCTTAACCTTTAAACTTTCGAGATATATATATAAGCTGTAAAATTAAGGTATCAATTTTTTTTAAAAATGTCAACCTTCCTTATTTCTACGTATTGACGGCAGCCCAATATTTCACAAATATGGTTGAACTTGCACGTATGCAGCATATAGTTGCTACGAACATTTCCATATCATTCGTTGTCACCTTATTTCATTCAATTTTCCTCCATCGGTTCGTCTAATGGACAAACCACTATTTGTATTCAAACTAAATGCCACTGTCACTATCTTCAGCTTTGTAATAAACCTGTTGGAGAATTTATTTTTTATTAACATTTATCGGCCAGACAATAAAAATTATCGACTTAGCCAGCTTGGCTGATTTTTCTGTATCTCTTTAATTATTCACAAACAGGACCCGAATGATACAGTATATATAAACTTTTTGTAAATTTTACCACTTTTTATTAGAGCTAATTAATTTTATTTTACATACAGTATTTAAAGGTGAATAAAAGCTTTTAATATTATATTATTTAAAATGGATAAAATTAATAAATTTTAGATAAGTTATATTTAAAATTGAATAACAAAATAAAAAAAAAAAAGAGAACCCAAATTTTTTTTGCGAAAAATTTTTTATATAAAAAATTTTTTTGAAAAAAAAAAAAAGTATTTGTTATATATATTTGTTAAATACTGTAGGTAAAATTACAGTATTTAAATATTAAAGCTTATACTACTGTATATAACCTTTTGACAAATAACTGCTTTTCAAATATAATATTTTAGTAAAAAAAAGTAACTTTTTTATTCAAAATTTCAATATAATTTCTATATATATTATTTGGGGTTTTTTACAAACTAGCTTGGGTTTTTACAGTAATTATATTATTTTTTATTTTATTTTTTATAGAAATTAAAAGTATTAGAGTTTAATTTTTACATGGAGGACCAGGTTTATGATAGCCAGACCCAACAAACAGGACAGGCTATGGTATCCTGTGCAGCTGTGAGAGCCGAGCATATGGCGAGCGATTCTATAGAAGGACCCCAAAATGTCTCAGTTTCCATTTCATCAAACCCTACTGAGACTCCTACCAAAAATATTTTTTCTCTAACATCTACTCAACCTATTATCCCCTCTATCTTTATAAATACCTCACTACCTACAACATTACTTCCTAAAACTTTCTCCCCAGATGATTCAGACAATGATAACACATCTCCAACTACAAACACTCTTTTAGGCAAAATTAACAACCCTCCTC